TTTTTTTTTTTTTTTTTTTTTTTTTTTTTTTTTTTTTTTTTTTTTTTTTTTTTTTTTTTTTTTTTTTTTTTTTTCATATGGTAGAAAGTCAAATACATATTCTTTATTCTTTTAATATTACATAATTTCTTTTAATAGGGGTGATGCATATCCCATAGGCTACGATCAAATTTCAAACAAGCGGGGAGGGTGGAAAGCTTTTAGCGGATTCTCTGTTGGTTCCCGCCATTAAAGCCTGCTCCACCTCCACTCTACTGGAGCAACCAGACCGAAAATGGCTTCCTCCTCGGCTTCACTTAAATCCAAAACCAGAACCCTAATCGACATCTTCCAGCCAGCGCTTTCCAAACGCTTAAAAACCTCACAGACGCTGAAAACCCTTGCAACCACGGACGAGAAATGCGATTCAGAGCTCACATTGGCTTCCTCTTCGATGGACATCTCTTCCTCTCAGAAATCCCGCATGGAAACCAACAAATGGTTGGCCAGATCGAACCGCAATCTCAAAATTTCCTCAGATAGGGTTTCCAAATGGGAGAATGGATGTGTGAAGTTGGAGGAGCTTTTGGTGGACGAGACATGGTTCGAAGCCCTTCCCGGAGAGTTCCAGAAGCCCTATGCTCTTAACCTCTGCAAGTTCGTAGAGACGGAGATTTGCAGCAGCGGTGTCCCTATTTATCCTCCTCCTTGTTTGATCTTTAATGCTCTGAATTCTACCCCTTTCGATAGGGTGAAAGTTGTTATTCTCGGTCAAGATCCTTATCATGGGCCTGGTCAAGCTATGGGTCTTTCTTTTTCTGTTCCTGAAGGAGTTAAAATCCCATCAAGTCTTCTCAACATATTCAAGGAACTGAGGGAAGATCTTGGTTGTTCCATCCCGTCCCATGGAAATCTTAAGAAATGGGCTGTTCAGGTGCTGTTGTCACTCATCTCTTTATTCTAAATACTTAGAAATGCATACTTAGATGTAGCTACTTCTAATATATTGGGGCTACAGAAATGGTACCCACCATTGTCTTCTTATGTTTGCCTTTATGCTTTTGGTCTTTACTTCGTTTGCTTAGAATAGTCTTAAAACTTGCGTTGAAGAGGTTTTCATCATGGAAAATAGGGCACAGTTCTGACTACACTTCATCTTTATTTGCAGATTCTAGTTGTTTGATTTGGTTAAAGTATATGTCATAAAAATCTTGCTTATTTTTCATTAGATGAAAGATATGTAAATATAGGTTTGGGATAGATGGATTATATAATAGATATGGTTCGTCATAAGGTTCTGATTTTGGTGACTGCTAAGGGAATGAAAAAATATTTTCTGAAATCGAGTGCCTTTTCTTGAATTAAGAACATGAAGACAACTAATAAGCTATGCTGGTTTCAATATTTTTTCTTTTAAAAAAACTCATTAATTCAAGTTGGAAATTTGGGTTGTAATTATTAGGTGACTTCTCTAAGTTGAGAGATTGGATCATACAATTAGTAGTTCATATTGGCAAAGCATTCTAAATGAAGTTTTTCATGACATTACTCTTAGGAATCTGGGCTTGTTTGGCTTCATAGGATAGTTGATCAATTCGGGAGAACTTTTCTGCGTGGAAAAATGCATGATTAGTTACCATGTCAACTAGACTAATATTAACTAAATTATACTAATTATCTAATATCTGAAAAAATTATTTTGTAAGAATGTGGTCAAAGTTCTATCTGGTGTCTTTTTCACTCTTCTGTTCTCTAAAATGATTTTTATATACATTGTAGGGAGTCTTGTTGCTTAATGCTGTTCTCACAGGTAATAATCTTCTTTCCACCTTAAGTTCCATACCCTCTTTATCAATGTACTTCCATTTTTAAAATCAGTAAAGTGAAGTTGAGGTAATATGTATAATGCCTTGTTATGTTCTTTGTGATTGTTTTTAAACAAATATTTCATTGATGAGTTTTGCTTTTGACCATCTAAAATTTTTTTCAATAGCTCCAGCTTAAAAGATACTAGCTAACTTTAATGCCGTCGGCAACATCTATGACATCAAACCAACAACTCATCAAACATCACCAAACCGTCACAAAGAGCAACTGCGCTAATATATAGCCATTTCCAGCAGCTAACTGTTCAAGCCGAGATTAGCTACAACTAAAGAAAAATTATAATCTTCCCAAGTTTGCTCATAAACTACCACCTTATCCTGGGAGAAAAAACAGCAAAAGGCCTCCAAATGGGTGATCTTCGACAACAGGCTTTATAAAGTAACAACATAACATTGTTGCAATGGAAGCCCTTGGGGAACAAGCTAACAAACACTCCAGCCCCTCAAAACATCCATTATAAAAGCCAATAACATCAGACCCAAAGACGAGGCCAAAGCGTCCTTTCGAAGATTGATAACCAAACCAAAAAGAACCGAAAACACAAGACGTTGATAGACACTCGAAGGAATCCACTGCTAGAATCAACACTTTAAAGGATGAAGTTTCTTGTTTGTTCCCATACATTAATAAGAGTTTTACATTATTTTGTTTTTAGTAACTATACATGCTTTCCTGCATTTACTTTTTGATAAATATTTTGGGTTTTCCTGTTTAGTTCGAAAGCATCAAGCTAACTCTCATGCTAAAAAAGGATGGGAACAATTCACCGATGCTGTCATCCAGACAATATCACAAAAGAAGGAAGGGGTTGTCTTTCTCCTTTGGGGGAACTCAGCTCAAGCGAAATTGAGGTACGTCTATTGTATGATATTAGTTCTAGCGGGAGTGCATGACTCTGGAAAGGACCAAAGTAATAATCGAATCACGGTTAAAATATAAACAACGACCTTTTAATTTTTCTTGTTGAAAAAAAGAAAATCAGTGACCTTGAAGTTAAAATTTTTGCTTCTTCTATGTAAATTTCGTAGATTGATCAGAATTTTCCATTACAAATTTAATTGGGAACAGGAAATAAAGACAAAGGACTTTCGGTTGAAGACTTAATTTATTTTTATAGATGAAGTGATGTAGGATGAAATATTGGATAATTACTATAATCTAGTTAATATTAGTCTAGTTGACATGGTACTCTATGAACTTGCCTTGGAGTTCACCGACACAAGCTTTAACACCTATGCATCAAGTTGGATCGACTCAAGGTAAAGGTTTGAATGGATTTACCTTAAAGGCCAAGGGTTAAGCGAACTAGTTGCTAACACAAGGCTAAAACACTCCACAAGTTTGGTGACTAATGAAGCTTGAATGCCTCAAAACATACGATCCTAAACACAAGGCTTCAACTTCAATTTGTTGAAACAAGAGTACCACTTGGGTTTATATAGTCAAGGAGTCCAAAAACCAGCCTAGATTCTCTAAATAATATAATATTATTTAGAACAACCAACCTATTCTAGAAAGCTTAAAAGGAATGCAAGTAAAAAAATCTTCTAAAAGTTCTCCTAAAATATCCTTCTAGAAACATTAGTAGGCGTGAGACTAAGTAATGGGAATTGAACTATGATCAATGGACTTCAAGAATACATAGATCTGGAGATAGGCCATTTAGAGGGCATGTGTTTTTGGGCTGCTTGGTCGATAGAGAATGCATAGTGAACTCCAAGCGAAGTTCATAAAGCACCATAGCACTAGCTGTTAACTTTTAGATTAACTAGTATTTGATTAATATTTTAGATTTGATACGTTGCTTGTTAATTTTATCGTAAGGATATAAATTCCCACTGTTTAGGATTATAAAAAAGCTTTTGAATATTATTTGAAACATGACTTTTTTAAGAAGAAAATAGAACTTTGTCTGTAGAGAGTGTTCTCTCAACTTTTAGGATGAATTTTCCTTGTTTGGCCATAATTTAGCTGTTAGGTACCTATAGAACTTTGTTTGTAGAGAGTGTTCTCTCAAATTTTGAATGAATTTTCTTCGTTTGGCTATGATTTAGCTGTTAGGTACCCAAGCACTGAAAATACAGAAACTCAATGATAACACAAGGTAGTAATATATTGCAATATTCAAATAAGTCGCAAGATAGTAATATATTGCAATATTCAAATAAGTCGCAATATAACAATAGCTTTTCGAGAGGGCTATCTCTCTTCCAATGTCCTACAATGGATAATCCCACTCAAATTGATCCCCTTTTAAAACCTCAACTCCCTTTGCTTTTAACCAAGATCCCCTGGCTAATTACCACTATACCTCTTACTAATACCCTACTAATATTCTCAATATATACCCTTACTAGTACGCTCACATCAGTCTAATCTCAAATCCACTACATCAATTGATACGAGAGCCCTTGGAGATTCTTGGGGAGGTACAAAACTATATACAGTGGTCGAAGATGGCAACATCAACAGTAGACTCCTAGAATTTGTTTCTTTGTCTAGGTATTTACCACCACCATATTCATCTTCATCACTTCCATATTCATCAATCCACTATCATCATACCCCATCCAAACATTCCAAACCATCCAAACCAATGTTTCAGCAATCAAAAAACAAGAAACGCCACACTTCCTCAACTAATTTCATAGTCAACTTCGACAACTTTGCAAAGATTAGATGCTCTTTGTGTACCATTAAAGAATTCCTTCCAAATCAGCCTAACTAACTACAAGGGCAGAGACAAAGCAAATGATAGTGATGTAGAAGTCGAAGATAGTTACATTAAAAAAGTTGAAGAAGACGATGCTGATATAATAATCAAAGCTGAAGATAAAGACATCGAAAAAGACAAGGAAGATGAAGAGGAAGTCGGAAACGACAAGGATTAAAAGAGGAAGTCAAAAAAAGAAGAGGAAAATGAAGGTGACTCGATGTCGGACAAGAACATACCATGCTAGATGCTGCAACATCGTTAGAGGGGGGAACCTTTGTTTTTGGGCTTTGTCAGAGAGATTTGTTTTGATCGCCATGGAGTTGTTGAGTGCTACTATTTAGTTAGAGGCTGTTGGTTCATCAGAGGGGACTAATTTGTCAGAGCTTGATGTTGTCAGACAAGGACAAGATGCTAGATGTTGTGGCATTGTTGGAGGGGGAAGATTTTGCTGCTACAGCTTTGTCAGGGGGTTTATTTTGAACATTGCATCTTCATAGGAGGATTCTGGTTTGTTGGATAGGAACGTTTACGGCGCCACAATGTCATCTGAGGGGCACACTGCAACGCAGAAAAAAAAGGAAAGAAAAAAAGTGGAAACATTGTGGCACTGATGCAAAGAAATGTGAAAACAAAATGTGCTTTGTATATTTTTTAATCCTAAACGTACGTGAGACCATCGTGACTATAGCATTGAGCCCATTAGTTGGTCACTCAAAGCCAAATTTCCACTTCATTTTCGAGAGATTTTCATGGAGTATTATTTAATTCCAATCTCGATTCAGAACAAAATTGCACCAAGGTTTTTCAATTGGAGTTTACCACACTCAAAAGAGCAGAGGAGAGAGTTTTCATTTTTGTAACCTCAAACTTGAGGATAGGTCTTTTTTCTACATTAGGTGATGCTAGTTACTCAATATAACTTGGTTAATATTAGTTTAGTTGTTAAGTGAGCTTTAGACTAATTAGTTTTAAATTAGTATTTTGCATTCAACTCGTTTGCTAATTGTATTGCAAGCCTATAAGTAGCCACGTTTCAGGATTGTGAGGAAACTCTTGAATATTATTTTGAAATAGAACTTCAATTTTAGAGTGTTCTCTCAACTAATGGAATGGATTTCTCTTGTTTGGCCTTGGATGGGACCTAATCACAAATTCTCTGCATCATAAGAACAGTAGGGTCAGGAGTAAGAAAACTTTGTAATTCCTGCATGCTATTAGGTGTGTTTGTTTTCAGCTGCTTTGTGGTTTCGTTGGTTCATTAGCGAGAGTAAGACTCTTGGGTTCATTAGTCGGAGTAAGACTCGTGTGCATCATTTTCTTTGTTCAGCAGCAAATTGGTTCTTGCTTTCCTCCCTGAACTCTTAAGACCTTCAGGCATGCGTGACTCTGTGTTTTACCTCTCTAATATGACTTTCACCCTCTTGAATTTGGATTATTTCCCAAAACCATCGCCCCTCTTCCAAAGCCTGGAGTGCTGTTTTCATCTGATAATTTTTCTTCTACCAAAGTGCTGCAAATTTACTCACCATTTCTTCTAAAATGCTCTGCAATGTCAGCATATTATCCTAGGCTCTGAATCCTCAAGTTTGAACTGCTTTAATACCAACTTGATTGGATTGTTATGGTAGAAATTAATGAAAGCTACTACCAAATTAGAAAGGAAAATTAATTTGAGAGGCTGACCACTCAACTTTGACGAACTTATTAAATTACTTTGGATGTGCCACTGGTAATATTCCTTATATTACTCAATTGCATTTCATATTAATAACTCACATATCTCATGCAAATATGAAGGCCACACCCACATTTTAGGGGATGTGTGGTAAATACTTTAGTAGTCTGGTACATATCTTGCTATACTGGTTCTAAGCTTACAAGTATAGAAATTTTTCCTGTGAAGAACAGGAAACTATTTGAGAAAGCATGGTTTTGCTGAGCTTTAAAATCAGCACGGTGCAATTTTCATTTACTTTATCTAGCTTAGAACAGCTTAGGTTCTATTGTCTTGATAATTAACTTACAAGAGCATCATCAAAGGGGTTTAATTCCTCTTCTTTGGGGGGGTAATAGCGTCCTACTTCACATAGAATCTGATGTATGAACAGGTTAATTGATGAGAAAAAACATCATATTCTCAAAGCCGCGCATCCTTCTGGTTTGTCGGCCAACAGAGGCTTCTTTGGTTGCAGGTTAGTTTCGTTGTTTAATTCCATTATAAATTTTTTAAACCTTCCTTCTAGTTCAAATATTAATTGGGATTTGCTCTCACCTTTGTACTTCATCATTTCCCTTCAATATGGTTCTTACAATAACAACATTTGCTAGTGTACGACTTGGTATTTTGTGTATATACATAACACGTTTGTAAGGTTAGTGAAGGTTATAATTTTCAGAGAGAAAATGTTCCAAGTAATTCACTAATATAAGGCAAAGTTGATGGATGCCTTTTCATTTCCCTTGGAATGGTTTCTTTCATCAAGTTTGTTTACCGCCAATTGTGGATTTTCTACAGGCATTTTTCTCGAACAAACGTGCTTCTCAAGGAGCTGGGTATTGGCTCCATAGATTGGCAACTCTGATCAAAATGCTTGCTCGAACCATTGCAGTTAATTTTGTGGCTCCATAGTCTGCTTGATTGACGATTTTTGTGGAATTTTCACTTGTTGATTCATCGTTGTTTAAATGATGAGACGCCCATCCTTTCCCATTTTTGTATTATAGTGTTTATACTTGTAGTTAGATATTGATCCCAAAGCAGCAACACCCTTCTTCTTTATGAATTAGGGTAAAATTAGTAGAAAGTTGGGCTAAATGTGTGTTGGTAGCAAATGTTTGGGTGTTCCTTCAACTCTATGGTGAATGATTTTGATTTTGATTTTGATTTTGATTTTGATTTTGATTTTGATTATGGTGAAGCCTAAGTAACTAAAGAGAGTTTTCTCTAAAAAGTGGATCTCAAAGCATTATTAAGAATCAAAGTTAATAAATAAATAAATGAGAGAAATTCTCTATTTATAGAGAATTTGGGAACAAACTAGGAATTAAAAATACAAAAAAAAAAAGAAAAAAAGGCTGAAAGGAATTAATGAAAATTAGCCTAAAGTGTTTTCAAAAAGTAACCCTACATCATCTTAGAAGTTATTCTTTCTTATATAATTGTTATTATTATTATTTTTTAATTTCCAATTTATGCCAATCCACTTAGTATTATATCATTTGGGTTAACCTTCAACAAAAATTATATAATTGAAATATGTTAAAATGTAAGGTTTGAAATTTTCTTAAACAATGCATATAGCTAAAAAAAACATATATTTTGAGAATAAAATTATTATAAACAAAAGGATTTTATTATCTTATTTATTATTTTGTTTTTATGGTTCAGAGTATAAAGATGTTGAGATGGCCGAGTTGGTCTAAGGCGCCAGATTAAGGTTCTGGTCCGAAAGGGCGTGGGTTCAAATCCCACTCTCAACAATTTCGTTTTTTACCAAATTTGATTTGATAAAACGTTCCGAATTCAACCAAAAACACGCTCGACTATAAGACAAAATGCTACCTCACGATATACATGAACTAAGAGTGAACATACAATAACCTACCTGTAAGCTTTAATAGATTCTTGTTATGAATGATACTCGTCAACACTCTTAATTTGGAGTTAATTCATAGGTTTTGGCCATTGGAGACTAAATTAAGGTAAGAAAAAAAATCTATTTTCTCTCTCAAGTTGCATAAAGTACATAAACAGAATCGAGTAACACCGAGACACAACAAACGTGTTTTGGGAGTGAGAACTCCCATGTCGAGTCTCAACGCCACTATCATGGATCTTTAAGCTTGTCATGTTAAGCTTAATGAAAGAACATTCATATTCTCTCAACTAAAGCTCGGACTCTAACCAAGAATAAAAAATGTATAAGATTACAGAAGATTATGATCTAACAGATGTATATGAAAGATCAGTAGCTTCCGTGGCATATCTACATGTATACAACAACTAAAGCCAATGCCAATAAATACCAATTAATCTACGTGGTTAAACCTCTCATCAAAGCTTTCATTTTATATTTGCCTGAAAGAAGCAGATACAGGAGGCACACTCAAATAGCTTAGAAATTCTCCCTCGTCGCCTCTCAGATGACTACAAACTTCCGTTGCAAACCGTATAATTCGAGTCAAGTCAAGTCATGCTGTACATAGGATCTAGAGCCGAGTCGAGTCAAGCAGGAATCTGTTCTCAAATCCTTCAATATATTTGAAGGGCAACTCACCACAATCCAGCTTCACGCAGTCACTGTCACCGGCAAAATAACTTCAAAACAAATCCTTCAATCCCATCTATTTTAACTAATGAATATAATGATGTAGGCAATGCATAGGTAATTCAGAAGCCAGCTTCAACTTTTATATTTTGTATTCTAGCTCTGACATCCAAGAACAACATAAGAAGACACAAATCATTCAACAATTTGAAAAGTAAAATTCTTCTGATGAATTCAAAATCTTTCGTTTTTACAATAAGAAATGTTAGGGATGAGGAATAGGTTAGTTGTGGCAAATTGGCAAGCAGTCCTTATCTGTCAAAGAGCTTTGTGAAAACATCCCCCCTTCTTTACTATCTACATCTACTTGTGAGTTTGAAATCAGTTGAAACCAAGACAACTCCCCAGCAGACGCTTGAACCATGCCTCCTTAGAACAAGACTATCCCTAACCTATGCCACTAATTCCAACTAAAGAACCAAAATGACAAATCTCACCACCTTAACACAACTCCCCAAACAGCCGACTTGAAAACTCAAAAGGCTTGTTCAATCTTTTCGTTTCCTTTCTTTATTGGAAAATTAAGCTTTTAGTTTTATGATCTTTCGTGTAATCCTTGCTCAGTGTTCTAATCTTTGGGGACCAATAGATACCTTGTTCGTGATATCCAAAAAGTTCCAACCAAAGGGCCTTGCATGCATCACAATGGTCATTTGTGATTCCCAGCTCTCTTCCATGACATCAATACCCTTGATTTTTAAGTCACCGCGGCTTTTCAATGGACATGGTCAAACACTTCCTTGGTCCAAACCCCAAGATGATCCTTCAAATCTTTACACTCAAGTACGAAAGCATAATAAGGCAATCCTAATGGAGACCCTCCCACCACCGGTTCAAAAAGAGGAATGCTTCAACCACATGCCCATAAACCCAAATTTATACATGTAAAGAAAATGTGTCCTCATGCTTTCCTAACACAATTCAACTATTCTCAACATGGTTGTAAGCTTTCTCGAGGTCAATTTTTATAATAACTCCTTAGCTTTTTCCTTCTTTTCCAATCCTCAACAGCTTTATCGGCCATTTCAGTGGAGTATATCATTTGTTGATTTCTTACAAAAGCATTACAAGTTCGATAGTCACTTGGGGCAAAATTTCCTTCATCCTCTCAACAATCACCTTAGTCACGGTTTTACAGGGACCACTAGTTAGTAGTGTAATCTTTAACATTTTTGGTATCCACTTTTGGGGGAAAAAGAGAGAAAACCCCTAGTTGATAATGGCATTAGAGATGTCTTTCTGCAAAAATAAAAATAAAAATACAGAACATCGTCATGCTCTCAAACATGTAGGTGTTGTGCAAACTTTTCAAGAATTTAGAAGAGGAACCATGAGGGTCGGGAGCCGTGGTATTTGAAGACTAGTGATTCCATCGAAGACATCCTACTCCATAAATTCTTTTTTCTTCCTTTTTGATGAATAACTAAACTTCCATTGAGAAAAAAAAAAAAAAAAAAAATTAAAGAATACAAAAGCATGTTGTCACCATCGCACTTCTTCAAGACTTACAAAGCACAACACTTACTTTCGCTCTTGAGAAGTCAGCCAACTCGAATTTTGGATTGTTGATGGTACAAAGGGCCTATCTCACAACCTCCACCCCTTTTCTAGGAAAACAAGTTAAGAAAACAATGTTAGAGAAAAGGTGTTGGAAAATGTTTGAGAAAACGTTTGTTGTAATCTAGCACACAATTAAGGATAATAACAGCATTCATTGCGTATAACTCTCGGTAGGAAGGATCGACAAATAGTCGTACCCACATAGTGCATTATGAGGCAAGGTGTCATACACCAACAAAAATATAAGGAAAGTAAACAACTATGCTAAAATGAAAAACAAACAATGAAAGCAAGGTAAAAACGGGGTGGAACGGGCATACGACCATGAGAAACACGTCCAGAACAAGCATGATTGTGACACATTGCATGCAAAAAAAGAGCCACAAAAAAGGAGAATGTGACAAACTAAAAAAGGGGTCTCCAATCAAGTAAAACAAGACCTAATGGATAGTAACAAAATGGTTTTGCCACCAAAGTCTACAAAAAGACGTTGAACTTAATATAGGCCCAAACATCACTTGAAGACCTTTCAAGCTCTCTCCATACCCAATTATTCCTATTTCCCCACTAACCTCACAAAACAACCCCAACATGTCTCAAAAAGTCTTTCCCTCTCATAAAAGGGAGGATGGAGAAGGAAGGAACTCAATTCTCTCTATAAAATACTTCTATGAATGGTGAACAAGGAAATCAAAATGGCCCTTGAGTTAGAATCTAAATCGTTCATCTTTGTCTTATAACATACAAAAAAAAAAAGATGGAGAGGAAAATTTTAGCACAATTTATCCATCTCTAATTAGACCAGTACAGATACTTAAAATGATCTTAGTAACGAGGGATCTTACACACTTGTTCTTTCGCCTTTTCTTTTTGTAACGATCTTATGCACATCTTTGATTGGTTGACACCATACCCACAACAAGCCCATCACCTCTTTGGATCCACTCTATTAGGTCACCTTTCAAGATGGAGAAGAAGCACCTTTAGGTCAACTTTATGAAAGCTTTCTTTTGGGTCACTTGGATTGAATGAACCAAAGAACCTATTGAAGAAAGGAGAGGCATTTTGACCATCTTTAGGATGGTATTACATGCTTTGCTATTTCTTGGTATAAAATGATCTCTCTTTTCTAAGTCTTATACTTTTGTATCTATTTTGTCCCAATGAAGAAATCTTTGGTATCTCCTTCGAATCAGGATTTTTCTCCCATCAATGATATTGTTTCTTATCCCAAAAAAAGACCAAAAACAAAAAAGAGCATTCATCTCTGACCTTGAGCCACAAGTATCTAATCTTTAGGACCAAAAGATATCCTCCTTAGTCATGATATCCAAAAGTTCCAACAAGAGGACCTTGCATCTTTTTCATAACGATCATTTATAATTTCCAGCTCTCTTCCATGACATTGATATCCTTGTCTTTTTCAATCAGAAAGGCTAATTGACTGATGACATGGTCTTTTGGTGAAAAAATACCAATTGAAGTGGAGGGCTTCTTCAAACAACAAGGAGTTAGCTCTCTTCCATGACATTGATATCCTTGTCTTTTTCAATCAGCAAGGCTAATTGACTGATGACATGGTCAAACACTTCCGTATTTGCAAAACTTAAGAAGATCCTTCCGTATTTGCAAAACACTTCCGTTTAACAAAATTTCTTTTCGGTGCACATAAATCTAAGCAAATAAGGGAGAAAGTTACCATTCAAACTTTCTAAGGCTAAGCACCATCTCATAACTGTCTTCACCAGCCTAATAACGGTCATCTACAAGGGAAGGATTCATAAATCTTAGTTTAAAAGGTTCCATAAAATTTTACGGCATTTGCCATTTGCACGGTTACAGGATGCTTACCAAAACCCAACAAATGCAGCAATTTACAGCTAGGGTCATCAAATTCAATGTAAAGATTGCCAGATAAATAATTTGTTTGCAAACTTACCGACACTAATTTTACTTGGCAAGCAAACCACGTCTAGGCAGGCAACTTAAGGCAGCAGGGCCGTGAACCTTGCCTCGAACACGAATCCTCTGTAAAGCCCATCGCTATATCCAGGCACCCCACATATCCACCGCCATTCTGCTTTTCCAGAACAACGATCCCACAATGCCATCATCCCCATTCTCTTCGCCGAGAAGCAAATCCGATCACCACCACCAAAAACCTTAAACTTACTTGACCCTTGAAAGCACTGAAACATCTGAACAGGCATACGACCCGCCTCATCCCACTCCAATGTATCCAAATCCAACCTTAAAATCAGAATCGTCGAGCACGAAGCAGTCAACGAAAACGACGATTTGAGCCCACCCACCATCAAGATTTGGTTCCCCGTCCCTCGGACCAAACGAGGCCGTTTCAAAATGTCAAAAACATCCCCCCATTCGTGCCTTTCAAGCCGACCCCAATTCTGGGAGCTCTTGAGATCAGTAATAGTACAAGCAAACAACTTCCATTGGCTTCTCCACGGAGAACCCACATCACAAAGAGCATAAACCGATTTAGAAACCAACACAGGACTTCGAGGTTTCGAAGGCAGGTTAGAAGAGAATTTACTCCACTGATTCGACCCAGAGAAATAAAGAGCTGCAAGCTCCGTCAAAACCATTACTCTATTAGCAGAGTCAACCAAAACCGAGCCATGTCGGGACCAGGCCGAGCCGAGCTGCGGCAAGACCCGGAACTGGCGAGTCAAAGGGTTACAAACTACAAGCGACTTATTCGACTCGGGAGACTCCGGCGAGTCGCCCCAGAGATAAACAAGACCGAGAGAGGACGCGACAGGGTGAGGGAATCGAAAGGGCAAAAAATCGAGGGGGAATCGAAGCCACTGATTCTGATCAGGGTCAAAGACGTGGAGACAAGAATTGGCGGCGGCGGCGGCAGAGAGGCGCTCGTGACTGTGGTGGTGGTGGTGGTGGTGCGGGGGCCGAAGGGCGATGAGGTGAAGAGGAGGACGGATGGAGATGAGGTCAATGAAGAAAGGGGATGAGATAATTTGGTCAAACAGCTTGCAGACGCAACGGCAGATCATAATTTGACGGAGAGGGAGGGATAGGAAGATCTGATAGAAAGTGTCATTGGGAAGACAGTATATCGGAGAAGCTTCCATCCGGCGATGGGCGGAGGCGGAGGTGGAGGAGGAGGGAGGAGACTTGGGAAGGGATTGAAAATGGGGGATTGTGGGCTGTTATCCAACGGGGAGAAAAAGAGCTAGAACGTGATGAGCTGGTTTTTTCAATTTAAAAAAAAAAAAAAAAAAAAACTAACACAAAATTATAAATATTTAGTTTTTAATAAATTGTAACCACTCGCATTTGAAAATAACCTTTAATTTAAAACTTTTCTTTAAACGCATGCATTTATACCAACCAACAAATTCAATTCAACCACGCACATACAAAAACACGACATAGGTAGTTCATAGTATTAAAGGGGGTATAAGACACCGATCTGACCCAAAACTCCATAGCCTTAGCTCGTGTTGTCTCCACCTCGATTGCTCCATCATGTCTCGTCTAAAAAATTTGAAGTAGCAGGGATGAGAATATAAAATATACTCAATAAGCATGCTATGGGTAGCTTTTAGTTCATTATTAAGTTGTATTGATATTAGTTCATTCATTCAATATCTTATTCTTGCTCTTCCTGGGCTACATCCTAATTTTACTCCTTCATAAGCCCTCAAATTTTCTAAAGTTTTCTAAGTCTCCTAGTTAGTTGTTTTCTGCTAGTCTATCATCATAGGGTTCATGCATGTTACCTTTGTCGTTCCTAACAGGTTCAATAAAGGACAACTGCAGACAAACTTCCTAATAATTTCCACATAGCACAAATCATATGTCATAAAATATCGTATACCAGTTCTATAGTTACCCGAACCCCTAATGTAACGGCTCAGATCCACCGCTAGCAGATATTGTCCTCTTTGGGCTCTCTTTCGGGCTTCCCCTCAAGGCTTTAAAACGCGTCTGCTAGGAGAAGGTTTCCACACCATTATAAATGGTGATTTGTTCTCCTCCCTAATCAATGTGGGACATGACAATTCACTTCCCTTTGGGGCCAACGTCCTTACTGGCATACCGCCTCGTGTCTACCCCCCTTCGGGGAATAGCGGGAAGGCTGGCATATCGTCTAGTGTCTGGCTCTGATACCATTTGTAACGACTCAGGCCCACCGCTAGCAGATGAGGGGAAGCCTGAAAGGGAAAGCCCAAAGAGGACAATATCTGCTAGCGGTGGATCTGGGTCGTTACACCTAACAATCGAGCTAGGTTTACAATTACGAGCTAGTTGGCGAACCTCTAATTGTCCCCATATAAACTCACATGAATGAACAATAATCATAAGTATCATGGACAACCAACTTCAAGGTACAACTGTGGATCCCTACCGTTCATGACAGGCTCACTACAGGAAAGCTAACTGACAAATTTACTAGTTGTAGTCCTCACAAATTATAGTCCATAAGTTCATAAGTTAGTTCGATAGCTATCTAAACCCTTGACAATCGCATCAGGTTCACGATTAAGGGCTAGTTGGTGCACCCTTAATTGTTCCCATATAACAGCTAAAATTACACACATAAACTAAAGACATACCATGACGACCTAACATGGATACTTAGTCTTAATCTCATATCCAAATTAGTTCATAGTTTAGTTTGTACTCTTTAAGTGAACATCATAACATTCAACAGGCATAATTCTCAGCTCATCTCATCCCATGCTCAAATCTTAATATAAGTTCCCTATATAGTGTTTTGTATCATACTAAAGACACTTTTAGTTTCATTCAAATCAAAACTCAACGGTTCATTTTCTCAATAACAGTGTACCATAACGTTTAACGTACTCTTACATACATCAAACCAGTTCATTTCATGCTCAAATTTCTATGACATATTTTTTATATCATACTTTCATACATACTAAGAACATGACTAAATCCAAGATTGAAGTGTCACTTAGACATTTTTTATTCAGATTTGCATATCTTAATGGAGTTTCACAAACCACTTCGCATTTCATATCATTTCTATTTAGCCCCTAATATAATGTGATGAATTTTGTCGATGAATGGTTGAAATGGTAATAGAGCTATTAGATTTCACGAGTCGAAGAACATCCAAATCGATAATTCACAAGACATTAATTTGAACCAACCTTTGTGCATCCAGTTATTATAAGATGTCAAGAGTAGAGGTCGATATTTCACATGATCATGATCATGATATGAGATACCGATTTTGTTGTTCTTTTTTTCTTTAGATTTTCTTCACTGGATCACCTGGCATGAAGTCCTTACCTCTGGACTAAATACTACAAACAAAAGTGAATATCATGCAGTTATATAAATTTATAAACTCAATAACAATCAGCACATAACCATATCCAAGGCGCTACATGAATGTCTAGCATATTGATAAAACCTTAACCAAACCACGTCTCGACCTTTTCGATCCCATAGTTAAGAGATTAGCCAAAGTACTTAAAAATTAATCCATACAAAAGATTATGTGAGGAAATTTTAAAAAAAAAATGGGTTTTAACAGTAAAAAAGATGAGATAACACCTTCCTCACGCATTCTTTTTTGCTTCAGGGACCTTCCTCTCATGTTCTCTTTCGCTTCAGTGACTTGATACTCTTAACAATATAGCTGACGACCTCCTTCAAAGTAGCTTTCCTTCCTTCCTTAAAGTTCCATAGTTCGGGTACGGAGTAACGACCACTTGGATTATATTCATTCATCTCTTTCAGGGCAGTAACGACAGCATTGTATATCTCGTCGCCCCATTCCTGCTTCAGACCTTTCAGTTTCTCATCGTCTTCATCAATATTCTCCTGCCATGCATCATATAGTTCACAATACAATTTTCAACTAAAAAAGACCATCAATTAGAGATCTGTAGCTTCACAGTACTGTTTGTTTTTGTACCATGTGGATAATGTCCATGAAAGTGATGTTTTGGATTTGAAAAATGAACTCCAAACTTGGGTTCATTGAAGAGTAGCTAAGGAAAGGGTGAAGGCAAGATTCACAATAAAATAGCTATAGATGGATAGAAAGACCATAGACCGGAGACTAGAAGAAAACATCCATTTAAAAAAAACGGATGATTGCAGGCAGAAACCTTGAAAGCTCACTTTAGTGGAATCGTGCATTCGTGCATCCGTGCATTAAGGGAAGTATGCGAAAGTATGGTGGTTTCGTCTTGAATACGCTTGAGAAGGGAGGTAATCCCAACCTCAAGTTATTCTTTCAATACAATTTCCCAAAGGTTTACAAGCTCCTATGACCAGTTTTGAGGCACTAATAAAGAAATATGGGCCACTCCTCAAACAATTTAAATATACAAAAAGGATGATGAGAAAGACAAATTCAGGTACCTGGGAATCCCCATCAATAGTAACAACTTTAAATGGATGCCAATTTGGATCCGTCAAACTATCCTGCCACAAGGAACATAAAGTGGAGGCTTGCACCATTGCCTCATCAGGAGAAAATTTCTGTTTGCAAGTGTTTTGGAATGGTTTAATATCAATATCTCCCATTCTCTTTATTCCAATATTAGGACGGCCATTTGATGATTGATCTTGCAATCCCTACACAGCAAAATCATTGGTTCATGAGAAAAGAGTACACGACTTCAAGATTGTATCTCTTTTTTCTATTAGGAATAAGTTGGTGCATCAAGAGAGAATCATAATTAATAGAGGGATGCACGAGAACGTACAGTTATTAATTCTTTGCGGGCCTCTTGTAATTCATCGTTGCTTTCACGCTCCTTGGCAACAAGCGTTCGATATAACTCCTGTAAATCGTTCAAATCCTCAACCTTTTGATTCAAATCATCATCCATTTCTTTCATCTTCTGTTGTACTCCAACATCATCTTGATCCTCAAGATGCTTCATAACCTGCAGTTTCCCTTTCAGTTCTTGAATTTCCATTTCCAGCTTCTGCTTCGCATCCAGCTGCTTTTCCAACTGCAGAATCTTGCTTAAAGCTTCTTCTTTCTCTCTCTGGATGAAAAAAAATATTGAATCATTGCTTTTTAACGAGAAAATAAAGCGGAAATTAATATAATGCATACAATTAGTACACATTAACAATGAACAAACCTTCTGCTCTTCAACAAGGCGTAAAACATTTTCATCCGCTCTTCTCTGTTCCAAAGAAGCCAACTGGAGCGAATTGTTCCTCATATCATTCTAGAAGAACAAGAAAAATTAAAAATGATTGTAAACCACATCTCTGATAGTAAAACATACATAAGTTCAAGCTATTAGCTTAATGTTTACTGAGCCCCAGATCATCTTAAACATGAGAGAACATTGTATGAAACATGAACAATAACAGGGTAAAGATGTGAACCAGGAGGCCTCATATCACCTTTTTCTTCTCTTCATCGTGTTTTTGTCTCTCAAGTTCAGTCAATGCTTCACGTTTGTTCAATTGCTTACTCCAGGAATCAAGTTTCTTTTTCTTAGTCTCCAACTCTTGGTGCAGTTTTTCTTGTTCTTCTAATATTCTTCGAACATTATCTCGTGCAAGTCTCTGTGTCTTTCTGGTTTCTGAACCGAATAAGACAAATCATAAACATCAAATGACACAGTATCAGAGTTATGCAACATAAATAGACACATGGTGTTTTCTTTGCAAATACGATCATCATCTTTATGGGAGGAGGTTTAGAGACAAGCCATTTTAATACGAACTTGAAGTTATGTAACTGAACATTCGTTCATATTTTGGTTGTGAATATAATAGTACACTTGAGTAAAATATACTAGAACATGAGGAAACTAAACACTCATGCATATATTCACTGCACACAAACAAAAAAGAACAACCTTCAACAAAAGCATGGTGAAGCTGGTCTTTCTCTTCAAGCATCCTACTTAAAGACATTGTCTTCTCATTGTACTTGTATTGTAGTTCATCCAGATTTTTATTAGTCAAATCAATTTCATGTGTAAGATTCTCCACAACCGTATTCCTACTTTGAGTTGCCTCGTTCACAATGTCTGAGACCGTTCTCAATTTCCCTCTCTGCCGAAGAAACTCACCTATAGGCTCATTTGAGTTATAATCGTCGGCGCGTGCACACCAACCATAAATTTCCAAGCTGGAATTTGTTTTGGTTTTCCAATTCTTTTTACTATGATTGTTGGTCTCAAACAATTTTTCAAAGTCCGTTGCATTCACAAAACCATTCCAATCATTATTGAATTCAACTACAGCCTGAGCATGGGATTCCTTCTCATTCCAAAAAGTATAAACATCTAAGGGCCTATATTTAGCAAACTTTTGTCTCCAATACCCTGAATCGCAGACTGACTTTCTGTCCTCCCCTACTGATATATTGACTATGACTCCCATCCAAGGCCATACATAAAGCTCCTTTTCTGAATCTCGACTAATAGGAGCTGGTGGAGTCGGACGCCGTATTTGGTCTGCTTCAGAAGCTAGCTCATTCTCTAGATATTTTGCTAAAGCAAGATGGTTCGCCTTCTGTCTAGCATTCCTGTTCTTAGAGCCTTTACTAACTCCAGAAGCATGCTGGAGTAAATCCTTATATTTGTAGTCCTGTTTTTTCTTCCCCATACAGAACGGACATCTAAGAATTCCATTTGTTGTTTTCACAACTAGTTTTCCAGTCCTCAGCTGTTCATATGGTTTGTCCGCATAATCATTTATCTCTGAGTCACTGAAATCTGACTCTTCTTCACTGCTGTAGTCCATCTAAAAAATTACATTGAGAATAATTAAACAAGAACTGCAGAATGATACATCGTTAACTATTGAGCATTCAAGGATCCAAAGCAATATATCATGAAATATCCATATAAATGTCTTTGGTAATAGCACAACAAGCTAAGGAAATCAACCAGAAACCAACCACTACTACACAAAAGCTTGTTGACCAACAACTGATGACACTATAAAAGTTCCTCCCAAGTAAAAGAACCCAAAAAACAAGGAAAAGAAAAGAACCCCATGAAACTTAAAGCGCCAAATTTCGATATAAAAGCCCTCGCAGGTTGTATGGAGACAAGTAAAGGAATATAGAAAAGGACTTCGACAGTGAAATCCTTTGGCAGGTTGATTTGAGGTTTTTGAGTACAATGTTCATTAAGGAGTGGGGAAAAGACTGGATCAACATCTGGAATCAACCATAACAACTGAAGTACTTCACATCGCCTTGAAAATGAATTACAAAATCAAGCAACATTGAGAAATAGAATTTGTAATAATGCATACAAAATCCCTAAACTGGGTGGAAAGAAAATGTTAAAACAACGACAGATATTGAATGAATTTCAAAGGAGGACTTACTTTTCCTCTTGATTACACAAGATTTTTGAAAGCGAAAGAGAGAGGAGTGTTGTTTGTTCTTCGCGGTGGTACAGGAGAGAGTGGAAAAGACGAGCAAAATGTCACAGGCTAATTAACTCTGGTTTGACGCGGAATAGTGACGAGGAAAGTAAGGTGAACACAAATGTCGGGTTTTTTTTTTTTTTTTTTTTTTTCAGGTGGATTTTGAAAACTTTAAAATGAAGTTTTTATTTTTTATTTTTATTTTTATTTTTATAGAGTGGTCTAAAGTATAGAATAAGCATCACTTTAGAATCATTTTTTTTTTAATATTCCCCTCTAAATTAAATATTAAAAAAATACATTATTAATGGATCTTGTTGGATGAAGGTCTACGTCATCTAATTTAGAGAATGATCATCAGTTTATAATCAATAATACTATCTCCATTGATATGAGGACCTTCCCATTGATATGAGGACCTTTTGGGGAAGCACAAAGTAAAATCCTAAGAGTTTATGTTCAAAGTCGACAATATCATACCATCTAAACAATCTTGTTAAAAGAAACTAAATATATTAAATAATCTCCATTTTCTCTAGTGGATTTTCTCTAGTAGTGCTGGGCAACATTTACCTATTCCTACAATCAGTAACTACATGTCACGACACCCACTTCAAGCGGGAACAGTAGCTACCTATTTGTGCACCCTCAACGGGTTAGAACAGTAAACTATCTGCCACTATGCTCTTCCTGGTTGGGTTAGTAAACTACTTGTCTTACACCCTCGTAGGGTTCAAAGCAGTAAAATTACCTATCTTAGGAACAGTAACTACCTGTTACTTAGCCTTTTCTGGCTAGAACAGTAAACCATCTGCCTTTACGCCTTTCGAGTTGGGTCAGTAAAAAGGCTATGACTCTCCCCACTAGCCACTCCTTATTTTGTGCTATAGTAGTAATATCCTCTATGAGTGACAACTAAATCAAACGTAACAAGTAGACTCTAACCTCTGTTGGTTATTTCACAAATAGGGGTTGCAACCTACTCGTCCCTACGAGGTACCTGGTCAACCCATGAAGACTACAAATACGTAACCAGTAGCTCATAATCTATGAAATTCATAATTCACATTCTCTAGCACATAACGATTAGTCCAACTCACCATTGAGAAATAGGAGGCTATCCAACCCCTAAATCAATGTATAATAAAGAATTAAGGCATATAACATGCTCAACATGCTAATTAAGTAATAATAATCAACCTAACATACTAGGAAACATACAAGTCCAATAATCTACCAGAGATTACATGTTCATATATGTGGAAGCTATATATCGATAACTATATTCAAGGGGTAAACTATACACATCGCGCCTAATTTTTATACTATATTGAATGGATTATTTCATCTTACACACTCAACACTGAAAACTCACGCAGCATTCATTGATTGAATAAGAAAATGAAAGAGAAGCTAATGAACCGAACCTGACGAAAATGCAAGGCCTAGTAAATTGCTTTCTGAGAAATGCCTCTTCCATAATTGAATACCACGCACAGGCGCAAAGCTCTTTCAGAGTCTCCTTCCTACGTGGCTTCCATCGATTATGGAGAAAGAGAATCTATTCATAGAAAAGAAGAATTGGGGTAGAGTGGGGGATTCATCCAACTTAACTTCTTCTCAAACTCTCGCTTGGAGGACTATAGATAGATGTAAGGCCCGATACGGTTTTTTTTAAGCCTGTAAGTAGGCAAGTACAGGAAGAAGGGCAAGAAGCTTTTCGGGAGAAAGAAACTTCTCGACAACATTTTATTCAATGATTGAACTGGTGGGGAATTGCATAATAATCAGCTTAAATGACAAGCTGAACTCATAAAAGCAATAAAAAATGTGGGTCAATTAGGCCTACAAGTCCTCTTCTTCCCCAATTTACCTCTCCAAGCACCTTAGGTAATTCAGCAGGATGAGAAGAAAGAGAAGCGACTAAACCTTCCCCGGCTATAACTATCCAAGAAGACACTAGAAACTGGAAGGATAAAAAACCCACCCGGTCTCTTTGTTTTATTCCCTTCTCCTATCCTTTCAAAGTCCATAGGTTGGGCGCTCAGCAGTAGAGAAAGACCCACGCTAATCAAAAAAAAAAAAAAAAAAAA